CTCGACCACTCTTGTCTCAGGAACAAGTCCTTCCTGAACTTGGTGTAAAGCATTTTCAAAGTCTTTCTTTAAGTAACGGGAGTACTGTAAAGAAAAAAAACAACAACACAATTAGTCTGTAAAGCTGGTAAATGCTTATATCTATGTCTATAATATTTCTTTTAAAAACTATCTATTAAATAAAACTGAAGGAAATTGGGATATGCAGTCTGATATGGAATCTGACCTCGATACATGCAAATTATGTCATCTATTGAGGCTTATTAATAGAGTTTAAAAGATATTATACAATTACTGCTGGTTTTGTGGTCAATCAGTAAGTTAGCCACTGGCCTATACAAAATTCATTTCCCCCCTCCTCCAATAATATGTGCCTGGAAGTTATAGTCTAGTGCAAGTGAAATTTTTTTTTTCAAAACTAATTGTAACAATTTAGAAATTATCAATTTATTTTTTATTAGTTCAAATTAGAAAAATTAATTTTTATTAGATAGACTATTTACAGTCCCAATATAATATATTCAAATGAAAACAGTTCATAATACGTGTACTGAAAACAGTTCATAATCCGTGTACTACACATTCACTGGATTTAAGGCCGTATTCCAAAGAGGGTCAGTGTTCATGCAGCAGTGATTGTGATGTACATCACAAAGAACATCTCAACATGTAATCTTAATATCTTGGTTAAATAATGTATAAAGTATAATATTATTTTTATTTATTCCAAGCTCTCTGATTGGCTCAAACTTGATCACATACTACAAATAGTACTGATTTCAGTCGTAGCTAATACAGTGTATGATTTGATGTTTCTAGAAAAAAAAATACATGTATCTATGTCAACTTCTACTAATTTTTTTCAATGTTCTGTATTTGATGAGACGAAACAATACATTGAATTAGGATCTACTTCATATTAATTAAAACATATTGGATATGTGTGTCAAATATTGATACAAAACATAATCAAATAAATGAAGTATTTTGAATAAGTAAATCCTCTAAATTACTCCATCAATATACAGGAAAAAAATTTACATTAAACAGCATAATTTATTTTGATCTCTAGTCTCTAAGTGTTAAAGAGAGAAAACTTTTTCCCATTATTTTCATTATTTGTTTTGTCAATCTATGTAAAAAATAATATAACAAATGTAGCCCTTTAATTCAGTCAATCCATAGATATATCGACTTCACAGAAAAGAATATCGACCTCCCACTTCGTGCTTGGTCAATATGCTTTTCTGTGAAGTTGATATATATCTATGGATTGACCTCATTAAAGGGCTATATTTATATACTGTTTATAAAGAGACAAGGTTTTAAATTAGAGAAATTCAAATTAATTAGGTCGACATAACCCATAATGAATGTGAATAAAATCACTACATTACTACATAACACAAGGTGAAAAAAGGCAAATCTTGTACAAAATCTGAAATTTCAAAGAATCAATGTATGTTTATGATTGATAAAGACCCATTCTAACTCAAGAACCCCTAACCTTAGGGCCATGAAATTCAGAATTTTGATTAAGACTCATTGCTTTTTAAAATCATGTCAGGAGTTTGATTGATGGCCAGGAGTAAAGAAGATTTCTGAAATTCAGTTGATTGATGGTTTTGGCCCATCCCTCAAGCCCCTTCATTTGGAGTTGGGGGGACAAGGAAATTCACAATTTTTGCTTCCCCTTGCCCATAGATGGTCTTTACCAAATTTGGTTGAAAGTGGTTTGAAAGTTTAAGAGAAGAAGCTAAAAATGTTAACAAATGTTATGACTGATGGAGCTTTATAATATTGCACACTTTAAATTCTTGTGTAATATGTGATTGTTAAAAAAATAAACAGGAAAACTATGCTCTCAAGTAGGCATGTCAGTTTTACACACACTTCCTGTGTCATTTACCTGACCTCCATTTACCTGTGTAAGGTACACCTTAAAGACGATTTAAAAATTGAATTAATTTCAAAATACCTGTCAAAATTAAATATTAATTTGTTCATGGCCAATAAAGTGTATCAATTAACATTCAAAATAAACAAACATCAGGCTGCACATGCTTTATGTAAACTTTCATTTTGGTTTAGTTAGTTGGTCCCTGTTGGAAAACTACAATTAAGCAGTATTTATTTGAACTCTCATGCAAAGTTTAAAGAATTTACATAATAGAAGTTCCTCTACAATAATTTGATTGACCCATTAATACTATAAAATGACCCAAAGTCATTTAGAAGTTAAGGGAAAAAAGTTTAGCTTTACATTTCTGAGAACATATAAATACTGAAATCCCCTTCATGGTTTCAAACCAAAAGGTCAAAAGGTTAGTTCCAGAGTAGCCCATTAAAAGTGCTACAGTATAGTAAGCCATGCTTAGAAAGCAAGGAAATAATGGATACATGGCCAAGCCTTCAGTGGTAGTGTTGTCAACGAGTACCCGATTAACCGTCGAACGATGAGAGTATCGGTAAGCAAAACTGCCGGATAAAATACATTTTACATAGTAAATAGCATTACATAGAAAATATTAATGTAATATTGTTTATAAATGAAATTTTTGATACTGTTGGACTTGATCTTCTAGTTCTAGTTTTCACAGTTTATATAATGATACCTTTGATTGCCAGGGGGTATAAAAGTTTTGAAGGCCTGAGTTTTAATTACCTCATTTAATAATTTAACAAGATGCCGCCACAGATATATTTAAGCTTTGAAAGTATTTTGAAAGAACAGTTGATTCAAAATCTGTTGTTTACTGGACATTCCACAAATTAACCAGTAATTATACATGTATATGGAGTATGTAAATAATTCTTCTTGATTGTGACATATTTCTGGGGCTGGAGAGGAAAAAGTACTGAAAGCCATTGTAAAATGGCGATTTGTGACTATATCCAAAAATATTTATTTGTCTTCTTCATTTGTCAAATAACTTTTTTTCTTTAATCTAAAATAAAAATTGAAAAAATTGAAAAAAATGAAGATATTGTGTGTATGCGTGTTTTGTAAATAATGTTGACCTACATGTATGTTATAATTTATATATGTGTATTTCTACTTCTAATGAGTAAAGTACTCATATTACATAAATATAATAGATATGGAAACTTGCGAAAAATCACCCGAGTAACCGGGTACTCGATCGGAAGATTAAGTGAGTAACTGGTTACTAAAAATCGTCCGATTTCACAACACTTTGCAGTGGTCATTACACACAAACTTGAAATAATTAAAATGACAGAAGATAAAACCACACATGTATACCAGATCCGGATAAGTCCCCTCCTACGGAAAAGTTCATGCAAAAAACAAAAGAATTACTAACTGGTGCTACTTGGGAAGGGATTATTCTACTCATAATGATACTGACAAAAATCTCGAACCTCAAAATACACTTTTTTATCCACATTATTATAAATAAAACTAATTTTGAAATTTCAATAATTTTTTAACAGAAATAATCTATGTTTCAGATACAAATATATAGCGTGTACAGTTTCTCAGTTATTCATTGACTACAATTTGTCTATCCAGTGTAAACAAGTCTACCCTGTAATTAGCCTTACCTGATTTCCTCCACCAATCCTAGGCAAGAATTTATTGTACTCGGGACTATTTTCTACTTCCTGTCAAATAAAACATATAAGATTGACATCTTTTCTGCATACACATTACATGCTAATAAAAAGATGTGCACAGATCAGAAATCTCAGACTGGATTGTAACTGCATGTACTGAATCGTTAATTTCTAAGGAAAATACCAAAGCACCTCATTCTCCAGTATTTTTAAACATTATTTATATCTCAAAAATCTTATCTGGAATCTAATAAACCATGAAATGATTTAAAATGAGATCTCTACTGACCTCTATGATATCTCTAAGCCTCAGGGTGTTCTCCGCAGAGTCTCCTGTCTTTTTCTGTAAACAAAGAATGACACACATCAAGCAAGTTACACTGTACTGGACTAGTAAGTAACAATACTGGTAATAAAAATTAACAATCCTGCATTTTTACTCATTTGTTTTGCTATGAAAGTAACACATGTCTTTCATATGCCTTTCTTTTATTTCTTTACAGATGTAATGTTTTGTAACACTTACATTAATGTTTGCTTTACTGCACGGTACATGTACTAAACTTATTAAATTTACACATGTTTAGTAATCTCAAAGCTAAAGGAACTTCTGTGTAATGAGATACTGACCCTCCACTCCTCTAGGAGTTTCCGAGCCTGGGCAGCCAGCTGCATGCTCTGAGGACCTTTAGACGTAGAATACGACTCCTTCACCACGTGGATATCTTGACTCCAGAAATCTCGCGTGGAGTCCGTCGTGGTGTGCTGGGGCGCCACTTGTTTTATCTTTATAAAATCAAAGAATGGTACTTAATAAAAGCATCAAATATTGTATTTTTTCCATTAGTTTTTATCAACTGCATTTATTAACTATAATTTTTATAATTTCAGTGAAAGTTTAAAATTGCCTTTAAAAATTGGAATGTCAAAACTTATTGGATTTCTGTAACAATAATTTTAAGGTATCGGGTAATTGCATGCTATCAAACATTTTCTCTAAGAGTCTTTCCACTAGGGAAAGGTGAATTATTAAAACATTTATAATGAGAGGGTCACCTTAAGGAAGATGAGACTATTTTATGTATGAGAGTTTAAGTTAAGGAAGAAGAGCTATTTCTATGTGAAGTTCATATAAGGAAGCTAAGGCTATTTGTATGCGAGGTTAAGTTAAGGAAGCTGAGGATATTTGTAAGAGAGGTTAAGTTAAGGTAGCTGAGGCTATTTGTATGAGAGGTTAAGTTAAAGAAGCTGAGCCTATTTGTATGAGAGGTTAAGTTTAGGATGCTGAGGATATTTGTAAGAGAGGGTAAGTTAAGGAAGCTGAGGATATTTGTATGAGAGGTTAAGTTAAAGAAGCTAAGGATATTTGTAAGAGAGGTTAAGTTAAAGAAGCTGAGGATATTTGTAAGAGAGGTGTGAAGCTGAGGATATTTGTAAGAGAGGTTTAGTTAAGGAAGCTGAGGATATTTGTAAAAGAAATAAGTTAAAGAAGCTGAGGATATTTATAAGAGAGGTTAAGTTAAGGATGCTGAGGATATTTGTAAGAGAGGTTAAGTTTAGGAAGCTAAGGCTATTTGTAAGAGAGGTTAAGTTAAGGAAGCTAAGGCTATTTGTAAGAGAGGTTTAGTTAAGGAAGCTGAGGATATTTATAAGAGAGGTTAAGTTAAGGATGCTGAGGATATTTGTAAGAGAGGTTAAGTTTAGGAAGCTGAGGATATTTGTATGAGAGGTTAAGTTAAGGAAGCTAAGGCTATTTGTAAGAGAGGTTAAGTTAAGGAAACTGAGGATATTTGTAAGAGAGGGTAAGTTAAGGAAACTGAGGATATTTGTAAGAGAGGTTAAGTTAAGGAAACTGAGGATATTTGTAAGAGAGGTTAAGTTAAGGAAGCTAAAGCTATTTGTAAGAGAGGTTAAGTTAAGGAAGCGAAGGCTATTTGTAAAAGAGGTTAAGTTAAGGAAGCTAAGGATATTTGTAAAAGAGGTTAAGTTAAGGAAGCTAAGGCTATTTGTAAAAGAGGTTAAGTTAAGGAAGCTGAGGATATTTGTATGAGAGGTTTAGTTAAGGAAGTTGAGGATATTTGTAAAAGAGGGTAAGTTAAAGAAGCTGAGGATATTTGTAAGAGAGGTTAAGTTAAGGAAGCTAAGGCTTTTTGTATGAGAGGTTAAGTTTAGGAAGCTAAGGCTATTTGTAAGAGAGGTTAAGTTAAGGAAGCTAAGGCTATTTGTAAAAGAGGTTAAGTTAAGGAAGCTGAGGATATTTGTATGAGAGGTTTAGTTAAGGAAGTTGAGGATATTTGTATGAGAGGTGTGAAGCTGAGGATATTTGTAAGAGAGGTTAAGTTTAGGAAGCTGAGGATATTTATAAGAGAGGTTAAGTTTAGGAAGCTAAGGCTATTTGTAAGAGAGGTTAAGTTAAGGAAGCTAAGGCTATTTGTAAGAGAGGTTAAGTTAAGGAAGCTAAGGCTATTTGTAAGAGAGGTTAAGTTAAGGAAGCTGAGGATATTTGTAAGAGAGGTTAAGTTAAGGAAGCTAAGGATATTTGTAAGAGAGGTTAAGTTAAAGAAGCTGAGGATATTTGTAAGAGAGGGTAAGTTAAAGAAGCTGAGGATATTTGTAAGAGAGGGTAAGTTAAGGAAGCTGAGGATATTTGTAAGAGAGGGTAAGTTAAAGAAGCTGAGGATATTTGTAAGAGATGTGTGAAGCTAAGGCTATTTGTAAGAGAGGTTAAGTTAAGGAAGCTGAGGATATTTGTAAGAGAGGTTTAGTTAAGGAAGCTGAGGATATGTGTAAAAGAGGGTAAGATAAAGAAGCTGAGGATATTTGTATGAGAGGTTAAGGAAGCTGGGGCCATTTTCTATCAGAAGTTAAGTTAAGGAAGCTGAGGCTATTTGTATGAGAGGCTAAGTTAAGGAAGCTGAGGCTATTTGTATGAGAGATTCAGAAAGCTGAGGCTTTTTGTATGAGAGGTTACCTTGAGGAAGGCTATTCCCATGATAAAGATACACAGGATGTTGAGATTGGTGAGCATGAGACTGATGAACCCGAGATACGCGGCCTCTACAGACATATTACAGCTGTGGGCAGGGGAATATTTGTTGTTGAGGAATGGTTTACACCCCAGTTCATCAGTGGGGGTGAACACTTCCTTCAAATACGAGGAATTATTCACTGTCATATTTACGTAGGTCACATCCAAGTCTGGGGGTCGAATGGCAGAAATAATGGAATATGCCCATAACATGCCCTGTAAATTTGAAAGTATATTGCATTATTATGAATGAAGATTTAAATACTGTATCTAAAAGTTTAGAGTTCATGACTGCTAGATTTAGTTTTCATGT